AACCAGTTCGAAGGTATGCTCCCGCCTAACATGAGTACACTCTCCAAACTAGAGAATTTTGAGATTAACGAAAATCTGTTTTCCGGATAAGTTCCTTCGTCTCTCTTCATGATCTCTTCGCTGACAGAACTTGACTTGGGAAGAAACGACTTCAGTGGTCCTCTGGAGATTGGAAATATCTCTTTTCCAACTAAACTTGAAGTCTTATTCCTTGGAGAAAACAATTTCAACGGACCAATCCCGCGATCTATATCGAAACTAGTCAATCTTTCTTATCTTGACCTCTCTTTATGGAACACAGAGAGAGGCATTGTCGATTTCAGCATCTTCTTGCATCTCAAGTCACTTATGTTCCTTGACATCTCTTATCTTAACACAAGAAGCAAGGTTGACATGAGTGTTTTCTCACAGCTTCTCATGTCACTTGATTATTTGGATATTTCAGGGATTAGTTTGAAGATCAATTCAACTCTCCCTATTTCTTCATCCATATCCACCTTGAGTTTATCTTCCAGCAATATTGTTGAGTTTCCCAAGTTTCTACAAACCAAAACCAGCTGTTTGTCTTATTTAGACATATCTGCCAACCAAATTGAAGGCCAAGTACCAAAGTGGTTATGGACACTGCCAGAGTTGTGGTTTTTGAACATTTCTTATAATTCCTTCAGTTGTTTTGCAGGATCAGCAAGTGTTATTCAAAGAAGTAAACTAGAAATGCTTGATATAAGTTCAAACACATTCCAGGATCTTCCTTTGTTACCAAACTCTACTAAGTTCTTTTTCGGCTCTGACAATCGGTTTTCGGGAGAGATTCCGAGGGCAATATGCAAACTGGTTTCTCTTGACACACTTGTTTTATCCAACAACAACTTCAGCGGTTCGATTCCACAGTGTTTTAAGAATCTTACACGTATTTCGGTCCTGCATCTTCAGAATAACAACCTTTCTGGTATTCTTCGAGAGGGATCAATTAGTGATTACTTGAGATCACTTAACGTTGGTCACAACCGGTTATCAGGAGAACTTCCCAGGTCCCTTATCAATTGTACTGAACTCGAGTTTCTAAACGTGGAAAACAACAAAATCAGTGACACATTTCCATTCTGGTTAAGATTGTTTCATAATTTACAGATTCTTGTCCTTCGCTCTAACGAATTCTATGGGCCAATATCTTCTCCAGGAGATTCTCTGAGTTTCCCAAAGCTGCGACTCTTTGACATTTCAGATAATCGCTTCACCGGAGTCTTTTCATCAGATTACTTTGCGCTTTGGATTGCAATGTCATCATTGGTCGTGGACATTGTAGAATATGATCAAGTATGTAAAACACTTAATCATTATAGATGATATGCCGAGTAGGTATGCGGGACGTGTGGGACGTAGTGCTGGAAACTATCATAACTCAGTGACTATGACGGCCAAAGGATTGAAGATGGAGCTAGTAGGGAGTGGTTTCACAATCTACAAAACCATTGATATCTCTGGAAACCGATTTGACGGAGAAGTCCCCGAGTCCATCGGTTTACTCAAGGAACTGATTGTGCTCAACATGTCAAACAATGCTTTCATAGGCCGTATCCCACCATCTCTGTCAAACTTGACCAATCTTGAATCATTAGATCTATCTCAAAACAATTTATCCGGCAAAATCCCACCAGAGCTCGGGAAACTCACATTTCTAGAGCGGGTGAACTTCTCTTACAACAGGCTTGAAGGTCCAATACCACAAGCCACTCAGTTTCAAAGCCAGAATAGTTCTTCATTCGCAGAGAATTCCAGTCTTTGCGACCTTCCTCTCCAAAACACCTGCGGCGAAGAAGAAGCAACAACAAAGCAAGATCAAGATGCAGAAGAGGAAGAAGACGAACAAGTATTGAGCTGGATTGCAGCAGCTATAAGCTATGTACCTGGTGTTGTGTGTGGAGTCACCATAGGCCACATTCTAACTTGGTGTAAACGTGACTGGTTCATGAGAATCTTTCACTTAACGAATGCCCTCCTAGTTTGAGTTCTCCGGAGAATGGTGTCTCCTTTCAATAATAAGCTTAACACTTGTTTGAAATATGTATTGATATTTACACATATCAATCCATGGCTTTTAAATTAATGTTGTAATGAATTTGTTTTCGCAGATTTATGCAGTGTTTTAATGATATACTATGAGCTATGTAAATTAGCTCATACCAGATTAATTACGAAGCCAACTATCATGTAAATCCAAAAGGAAAAAAGCTTCTTGCTTCATTAACTAAGGAGTCAAATTGGTAATCCAAGAATCTTTGATAACAAAGAACTACAAGAGAGGAGCAAAAAATGGTTCCACTAAGAGTACCAAAAATAAAATCTCGATTCATATCCGTGTGCGAAAATCTTACTCGAAGAGACTGAATCCCATGTCCTGCATCAACATTGAGAGATATAACCAAAGAGTCAGATAAAAGACCAATATCAAGAATCATAACAAAAGAGTAAGCAAGAACAAAATCGAAATGCTTACATCATCAGACTCCTCTTTCTCTTCCTTCTTAGCTTCTTTCTTCTCAGCAGCTGCAGGAGCAGCACCACCACCACTTGATGGAGCAGCTGCAACAGCACCACCACCACCACCAGATGGCACAGAGGCTAACTTCTCCCTACCGGCAGCAATCAGCTCAGCAATGTCCTTACCTTTCACTTCTTTCAAAAGAAGCTCAATGCTCTCTCCATCAACATCAGCACCAACTACAAAAACACAATGAACACATACTTCACTACACAACAAATACCTTAAGGAATCTCATATACAAATTACCCAAAACAACGTTCTCTTGATCAGGAATTCATACTATTACACATCACAAAACTTTCATAAACACTCTCCATCAACATCAGGACCAACTACATAACAAAATACAAAACACAATGAATACATACTTCACTACACAACCAAGACCTTAAAGGAATTATATAAAAGTAACAAAAACTATGTTCTCTTAATCAGAGATTCATACTACTTAGCATCACAAAACTTTCATAAACACTCTTAAACATCACAAAACTTTCATAAACACTCTCCATCAACATCATCACCAACTACATAACAAAATACAAAACACAATACATCACTACACAACAAAGGCCTTAAGGAATCTCATATACAATTAACCAAAACTATGAACCAAACTCTTATAAACCAAAACAAAGCAAAAGCAGAAGCTTCCCTAATCAACATTGCAACTACTTCGTTCTTTCACAGTAACTCAGAATCTAATCATTCAAACAACGAATTCAAGTTTTACCAGCTCCGATGATATCTTTGATATTATCAGCAGAAGGATTAGCGTTTCCGCCCAAAACAGCGAGGAGAAAAGCAGCAGCAACCTTCATTTTCGTTTCTGCTTTTGATTACACCAAAAGGAAAAAAAAGAAAAATCAAATTAGTCAGAAATTTGAATTAAAAATAACTCAAGAGATCGATTCAGAGACATTGAAAGAAGAAGAGTTATTACCAAAAAGGTTTGAGTAGGAAGCTACTAGAAGCTTATTGCTATGAGTTTTTGGAGAAGCTCGGAGACGAAAATGGAGGAAGACGATGAGTGAGTTATTTATATAGTTAGGGTTTTCTTCTGTTTCCGGTTCTCTACGGTTCTGGTTTTACTCTCAATTTTTTGGTTTTGTTTCTGGTTACCGGTTTAATTTGGTTGACTATGAACCGGTTAATATTTTAGTTTAATTTTTGCTGGTTCAGAACTGACCTGACCATCTAACTACAAATTATGTTAATGTTTTTAAGTTTTTTTTTTTCCCTTGTGTCAATTTCAGAAGGTCAAGGAGAAGTTTTAGAAAAATGTGGTATTTTTAATCAATTTATGAAAAAATATTATCCAACTTAACAAGTAAATATATATAATTTAGTATTTTGGTGTGTGGTAATCAACCAAATCAGAAGCTAAACCGGACTTTTACATCCGACTAATCTTCAAGATGAATGTAATCTGTGAGTAGTTCATTCATCGAGTTTTCTATCTTCAATAGTAAATTTCTTAACAAGTTTGTTAGTGATATTTTATTTAACAGAATATAAAATCTGAAGCTATTTTTTTTTGGAAGATTAAGTAAAATTTATCTTTCTAATGGTAAAGTTTTTAACAAGTTTTTAAGCATTAATTTTTTAAAAAATAAGAAAGCTTGTTTTCTTTTTTTTTTCTTTGCTCCGGTCAGTTAGAAGTGGACACATATATGTAAGACTCAGTTTCTAAAATCCTTAGTCAAGAATTATTTTTGTAGCTTATTACACATTTTTTTTGTTTTTTTTTTTCCTTTTAATCCTTAGAAACTTGCTAATTTTTTTTTATTGGAGATGCTCTAGCTGGTTTAGAGTATAATACTATTTCGACAGGCAAATAACTTTTTTTTTAAGAGAAATTCACGTTTGAGAAAATTTAATCTTTGGCTTAGAACTGCGCAACTCTTTTTGAAAACTACTAAACCACCGCCACTTGGACCACTTCTAACATAACGTTTTTATCGTGAGTCTAAAACTAAAAAATAATTAAAATTATGTTCGTTTCGTCGTCGCAGGTTGTAGCTTGTAGCAAGCGTAATGTTTTTTAACCACTGAATTGAATTGATGTTCACAATTTTTAATCATAAGCATTCACCGCAATTACAGTACCCAAGCAGAGAAAAATACTTGTATTTGCCTATATAGTAATAGGTATCGTCTAGGCAGTTGGCATTATGGGATTGGTTAATCATCTTTTATTATTTAAAACTTACAAACAAAATTCATTTTTCACAAAAATGATTAAACTAGTATTTTATGTCTTTACATTATTTATTTCCACTTTTCATCTTCGAACTTCGATTAAAAAAAAAACACAAGCTAACCTAAAGATATCTTATTAAAAGTCGTGAATTTGTCATAAGGCACCATTGCCTTTTTCTTACCAAAGTTGGCACAACGATCGTGATTGTTTAAGCATTTTTGCGTGTAATTTCTTATATATTTTTACTCTATTCTTCTTCGTCATGTGTCTCTCGTATGTTCGATTCCATTCAAACACGTAGTAGACCTAAACCGTATAGTGAGTTAGTGACTGTTTCTCTTATTATAGTAACAAACCAATTCGTACTAGCTACTGTATAGATGAACTTTTAAACCTCTTAAATTGTTTTTATAGAACACTAATTAGTGTTCTATAATATAATGTTATATATATTATATTATATGCGATGACATGTTATAAAATGACATCGCATATAGTAAAATGAACAAACCAACAATAAGCTTATACGAAGCTAAACAAATTTACAAATCATGTATCATCATACAATTATTATTCACAAATAAATAGTACTCTCCAATAGAAAAGTAGAAGATAATATATGTTTTATTTTAAAAGAATTAACGTTTACAAGTATACAAATAAATATATATGTCTTATTAGTGATATCATATACATGCAGAAATGTAATATAATTTTTTCTTTTTGCATGTGGTTTTATCTTTTAAGTACGTGAGTGATGAGACCAGGAATGTGTATTGTTGTGAGATAATCTCCCCAGTTTATGACTTTTGGGTCGAAATCAAACATCATTTTTTCTGAATTCTTGCTCTCTTCTTCCTTCTGGTTTGCGCATAAGCTCTTGGTGTTTCTATCGTCAAATCTATGAAAATAATAATAACATTATTAGTATTATGTTACATAATTTATGTATATGCATTTCAGGTATACTATCAAAAGTAGAAAACTAATTAATAATTTGAAAGTAATTAATACGTACATGCCCTTGAAGAGTACGTAAGGCTCGTATAGCTCTACCAATCTCATTGCCAACTCTATTTTACGGTTCTTGTCTCCGTATTTATCTCCTTTTCTCCAAGGGTATATTATATCAATCAATTTTAGTAACTACCAAAAAAAATATCAATCAATTTTAGTAACTGATTAAGAGAAAAAACCCAAAGAAAAAGAATTAACAATATTAGAAAATACTTATTAATTAGCCAATCAAAATACAACAATATGCCATGTTATTTTCTATTTAAAAAAATTAAAATTAAAATCAGAAAATAAAAATAAAAATAAGAAAACAAATTATGTAAGATTTTTATTTAGAAATTTATATTGTGGTTTGAGTTTATAAAAGAGTGGTTAGAGTTTAGATTTTATAAATAACGAAACTATACATTTTTTGTTTGAATTTATAAAATAGTGGTTAAGGTTTAGATTTGTAATTACACCAAAGTATATTTCGGTTTGGGTTTAGAAAAGAATGGTTATAGTTTAGATTTTATAGATAAACGAGATCATATGTAGGTTTGGTTTGATAAAAAATAGTAGTCAAGTACTGCTCACGTATAAATGTATTGGTCGAACTATTAGTACCTGGAGAGGTAGTTTGTAACGTAAGGTCATGTAGAAGCTGAACAAAGCCATGGATGATATGAACCTCAATTTCGAGACAGTTATGAGCGAGCCATTGCGACTACGCAAAGGGTTCTTGGTGAAGTAACGAACCGCAATCTCATGAATCTCTCCGAACGTCACAGGGTTCTGATGAGATGAGCCAACATGGTACACCATATGAACCTTTGAACCTCCTGCATGAGTTGCTGCAGCAGTGATCATTGCGTTTGCCACCATATCTACTGGTATCTGTCAAAATGATTTTCGTATATGTCACATCCAATGAAAAGTTATGACATAAACTAACTTTTTATGAAATGTTAAACTTAGCTAAAGTAATGTTTAGTTAAATAATTACCATATCGCAAACTGAGTTTACATCGACGAGAAAACACTTGAGTACTCCCTTTCCGAATGCGATAATCACGCTGTCTACGGTTCTATACATACATAAAAATGTGAAATAAGTGTAATTTAGTAAGGACACAAA